CTCATCCACCGATCCTCCAACCGATCATCCCACCGATCCTCCGATTAATAGGGATGACAATTTACCCCGTCTTTTTTTGTCTTGATCAATGTGAGGATTTCTCGAGTTGACTAAAAAACGGGACGGGTCATCCCGCCCAACATTGATTTTGAACGGGGATGGGGCGAGGATGGTATTCATCCTTTATCAAAATGTATATTTTTTATCGCTTTTATGCTTTTTATTTTTCTAAAATATTACTATACTTTAAACCAATTTGATGTTTAAATATAGATTTCATTTTATTGAATTTTATGTATTATAAAGATTTCGTAATATTTATAAATCTGTTTCATAGCGTTATTATAGTTGTTAAATAGGAATAGATTTTATTTTTCTTATTAATGTTGAAATAAATAAATGAAAAAAATATATAAAAAATTGGAATGGATTTAGTGACGGTTTTCCGAAATAGTCCCAAATTGGAGATGGATTGAGCAATGAATTTAAAAAAATGGTTGCTAAATTATCCATAGTTGGCGACAGATTTAGCGATGTTTTAACAAAACAATTACTAAATCATGACCTTGTTTCATCGTTATGCGACGGATTATTACTCGTTTTAGTGATGGTTAATTAGTTTTTAATTTACCGACGGTATAGAAAAAATCGTCGCTAATGATTTAGCAATAAGATTTTTCGAATGGATTGATACCATTGCTAATAAATATTAGCAATGATTTTTTGGGATTTAGCGATGCTTTAAACTCGTCATTAAATCCCCTTATTTTGGTAGTGGAATGTAAGTGTTCGTCACTAATCCCTCATAAAATGGGTGACCAATTAATTCCGGAGAACTTTCATTTTTTTACAGCTAGCAACGAAAATTTTTGTCGTTACTTAGTCACTATTTAGTGATAGAAATTAATTTTTTGTCGCTAATCCTTCATAAAATGGACAATCAATTAATTTCGAAGGCTATCCATTTTTTTACAACCAACGAACGAAAACTTTCTTGTTGCTATTTAGCGACGTAAATTAAGTTTTCATTGTTATTTTATCATCAAATGGGCGGCTCTTTAATTTCAAATGGTCACTCAATTTTTCAGATTTAATGACAAATTTATTATTTTAATGATGGATTATCCATCACTAAATCAAAACATTAAAAATAGTGACGAAACAAAAATCTATCATATATTTCGTCGTCGACACGTCTTTAAAAAACCCAAAAAAATTTTGGCATCACAAATAGCGACGGAATATTATCCGTTGTCGATAATCCGTCGTCAAACCATCTATATTCCATCGCTAAATTAAACAAACACTATTTGATCTCTATTTAGTCGCTATTTAACAATGATTTTTATTCTCGTCACTATTATTCGATTTTCTTGTATCGAAAGCATTTGAAACTACCATATGAAATGTTCTAAGCATCTAAAAATTTAGATATACGGAATTCATATAAAATCTACTTATAAATTTAAAGCAATTCAATCCACTGGTCAATCTAATTATTTTATTGAAAGATGGTTAAAGTATTCAAAGAATTTTATGAAAATACTAGTTATTTATTGTGTGAAGATATATATATATATAAGAATGAAAAGCACTGTTGAATGAATGTATATGAAAATAGGGGTAATGTAGGCCCACATGGTCCTCTACAGTCAATTCATCAATGAGTAACTACTAACTAGACCAACATGAATAGCCAAAATGTCTCTTAGAATGCATTTACATCATAACGACATGACTGGTTATATCTTTGGTGGTCTGTAGAAAAGGTGGCATTCACATGTTAGATAGCCAGAGAGGTCTCCTTCAAGGCATTAAATTTCGATCACGAGATTGAAGGACATGATTTATTCTTCTAATTAGCAATGGAGAGAAGCATAAGTATGGGTTTTCTCAAGTATAAGTAAATGAAAGATTATGAAAGAGGGATGAGACGTTTTGTAGCAATATTGTCATCCGCAAAACTGAAAAGACAAGTAACCCCAATGGGGCATACAAAAATGATACATCAAGAATTATGGCGATTGAAATGGCTTGGGAAGCCACATGGAACGTACATTCCAGGCTACATCTAAATCACTTGCCTATATACATGGGGGGCTAGGGCTACCTTTGGCAAACTTAATTGGTTCCTACTTCACAAGTGTAAGTAATTCCCCACACTATTTACAAGGGAATAAGTTGTGCCTTGCAAAGAAATTAAATCTCTCTCCAAGAAGATGATCTTCTTTGACTCAGTGTAATTACATTGACATAACATGGATTTGCTTTCTTACAAGAAAGAAAGGGTGACTAGCTATGACTGTTGTCTCTTTCTATTTGGACCAAACTGATGGCTGCATCATTCATTAATTTATTTGCGTGGCAACTAACCTCTTCTCACTCTTACACAAGGAGAGGAAATAAGTGGGGGAAGAAACAAAACCTAGTTAGAGTACTTTTTGTTAGGAAACCAATCAATAAAAAAATAAAAATAGACAATACAAAATCTCCGTTGTTCCAGTTCCATAATGTATTTATTTCATAGCTGCAATAAGAGTTTTTTATTAAATTTTTTAATCAGCTACAAATACAATATATAATATCTATATTTATAATATAAACAATTAGGGTTATAATAAATAAGTTTTACGAATCTATACAATTGGTTCAATATTTTATAAACCTTTTGAAAGCTCTTTCACACCGATCTCTATAATTTAATATTTTATTTGTTGGTAACATATTTGCCCACGACTTTTTTTTTTTTTTTTTTTTAAGAAATTTTTACAGGTCTTTTATCTTGCTATCCCTTTCGGTATGGATCAGGGTGGTCCAAAAAACAAAATTACATTTGCTAAATGAAGCCGGTTTTATTAGACTATCTAATTGATAACACAAATCACAAGGTCATAGTTCTGGTGCAGGGTAGGTTTTTATGTATGATCAGTCATATAGGGTGGGGTTTTTCATTCCTAGAACATCCCCATCATCCCTAACCGACACTGTTTTGTCACTGGACGGCAGAATCGTTGACATGAATATGATGAGATAAATATTTAGGGTTCAGTCACTATCCCTATTGCCCAACCAGAGACATTGATCATATGAAACTTCTCCAACTTTGTATTAAAAAAAAAACAAAAAAGTAACCCTGTACCGATCAGCTCTACCTCCTCCTTGGTCAAGTAGGGAGAAAATAATTAAAAGGGTATCATTTCGATTCATGTCCTGGCTGTCTTCGAAAAAAATAGGAAAATATATATTGCATTGGATTCTGGCGGCTTATGTAAATGAGGCGTATACATAAATATTTATGTAATTTTTTAATTTTTGTTTCTTAGGATTCAACTATTTGTTTTTTGGTTTACAATTAGGTGTCCTTCCTCTCAACGAATAACTCCTTTCGAGTCAACTCGAGATTAAAGGATTCTTAAAAAGTTTTACTTTCGGAACCTAATCGTTGAAAATCTTGGTTCAGACAAAGAACAAGAGAAGTTATGCCAAATGCCAATTAAGCTAAGCTTGAAAAAACTTCGGACAAAGAACTGAATGGAAGCTACATAAAACGTATCCAAATGGACAATGCCATAAAAGGCAATGATTAGGTAATCATGCACGCAATTAACATTACTGGTTCTTCTCTCTTTTCAATCCACATCTAGGTTTTCTTGCACCTTGACGCAATTGGAGAATAGGAAAGCCAACCTTTTTCTCGGTCACCGGATTGAGTTGGTTAAGATTTTATCCATGTAAGGTCAAAGGTTACCATGCTCTTGTCATCGATGGTATTATAAAAGTAATATTTGCATAAACACAGAACTTAAATTTGTGCTTCCTCCAGTATTGTCACTGTGATTACTTGTACACTGACGCGAAGGAGAACAGTTGGATATAAGAGGCGTACAACTTGCTTGAGTGATAATCTAGTAATAGAATTGTCATGGCACTCTCATGACTACCTTCCATTTACCATCTGAAGGCTTGGTCGGACGATGATTAACGGATTTGTTTTCATATAATTATTATGATCTGAAGTTTGAGTTTATGCAGAGATTACAAAACGGATATAGATGACGTGTCTAACACACGACCGTCAAAGAACAGAACAACAAACAGAGTGATGTCGTAGACTGCCTGCAACCAGCAACCAAAGCAATGGTGGTGGGGAAGCAGTGACACAATTCTACGAATTTAGTTAGAAACAATGTTCTTTAAAGTTATGTCTATTACCTATCTTATTGTTTCCAGCAGGAAAACCACACCAAGCCATGTTATATGATCAGGATGTTGGATGTAGATAGCAACCATAGCTTGGTTGGAGATAACTTTTGGCTCCATGATGGATTACAAGATTTTGCTGGCTAATGATGAGATGCAGAGGGCCTGCACCCAGGAGGGAATGCATACACTGGACTTCCTGTGCCCTCTCCCTCTAAGGCTCAATGTGCGGTTTTGGCCCTACTTTTCACCGAAATACAACACAAGCATCCCCCACCTCTCCCCCTAACCTCGTGCAAAAAGTGTACATTTCAGCATCAGGTCCTCTTTTCGACACGTTGAGAAATTTCAGTCAACTAGCTTGTTGATTGCTGTGCTTTTGGCTAGTAATGATTTGGAAGCTTATGCAAATTTCCAACAATGAAACCTCCCTCACATTTCTTCCAATAATCAAATCAAACATAAAATGTCGAAATCGGAGAAACATGAGTAGGCAAGTTACAGAAGTGTAATAGAAATGAGCCAGAAAAGGTACTGCAGAAGAAAGTTTGAACCAGAACGGACTGCACAGGAAAACTATGAACATAAACCATTTACTTCCTTAAGTACAAAATAGTCCAGGATGCTTGACCTTGATTTGCAGGTTACAGAAGTGGTCATGTAACAGATACAACAACATATAAGGTTAGTTTTTGGGGTTATAGTGAACTGATATTTGAATAGAACACAAAATGGGCAGATCGAGCAACCAAAATAAACAAGCTAAAACCACTTGAAAAACACTGAGAAACAATCATATATCATTTCCACAGTTTGACGAACTTATCATGACTAGCAGAAGCAACCAACCCTGTAGCAGTTGATACAGCCAAAGCAGCAATTAGACCCTCATGAGCTGGCAGAATCATTGTCTTGTTCTCACTCATGTTCCAAAGCTCCAAAGACTGCAGAAAATGCCACAGAAGCATGTCAGAAAACCACAACAAAATATAACACAGGTTTTGAAAAAGATAGGAAAAGAAACAAAAGAAAAGGAAAGGCGGCATCAGATAGAAGATGGTGATGGCAACATACAAACGACACATTAAATTTTTTTTCCCGACCTTCCCAAGAATTTTGCCCCCAAATATCAAGAAACTGTTTTCAATTTCAAAAACTGATGTGACCTTTGACTAGGAACCAACATGGACCATCTTCACAGCGGAGAACCCCCACACTCCGTAGAGTGATAGGAAACATAATGCAGGTTTTGGGCTATGGTAAACCTGTACAACCTATGCAACAATCGTGAAATTACCAAATCCTGATTGGAAAAGCTTGCAACAAAAGGATCCATACTGCTAGCTGAAAGAGGTGCTAAAGAAAACACTATCAATATGAAAAAGTTATCATGGTGTAAGGCCACAGCCATTATTTACAAAATGAGTACCCTGTGACCATTAATTTCAGCATTATAGTGCCGTTAAAGAAAATTCACAGCAATAACGGCTATAATGCCATTATAATGGCAATGGCTGTTTGTTGGATATTATTGTGAAAAGAATGGGTCAATAACAGCCCATTAATGGAGAACTTACTAATAATGATTTTTTTCATAGTTATTGTACGGAAAGCTCATGTTTTCACACTTTTTTCACTCTTTTGATATTTAAAACATATTGTTTATATCACATTCAACTAACAGAAGTGTTATTATTGTATAACTTAGTGAAATAATTAGAAAAGCATGCATTACTAAAATTTGTTAAGAATTATTAATGAATCACGACAACAATAGCCATGATCATTACTTAACACCTGCTAGGTCCACAATCAGCATCAGGACTACAGACTGCAACTGTGATTTAAGACTGCAACACTAATAATAAAGATAGCGTAATAGCAAAGTACAGAAAACAAAGCAGAAATCACTTGCCTGGTCACAGCCTATGACTAGCAATGAAGGGAATGTAGGGTGGAAAACACAGGACTGAAATTTATTGCCATTACAACTCAACTCATGAACACATTCGCCCTCACTTCCTGATCCAAGCGTCCAGACTCTGACAGAGTCCTCACTGATAGATGCTAGATAGTCACCAGAAGGATCCCAACAAACAGAATGGATTGGCTTAGTGTGTCCCTACAGTTAGAAATATCCAAAGGTCAGCTACAGCACGAGAATGGAAAAATGGGAAAGGCACAAGACATTCATGAGCTGAGTACACACATTCTGGATCAGTTTAAGCAAAATGTAAAGACAACTTCAAATATGGATATCACCAAGAACAACAAACACGGAATGTCACACAAGAAAAGCATCCCTCCCTGATTAAAAAAAAAAGGCCACTTCTGTCACCATGAATGACAGGCAACTGAATTTGCAAAATGACTACAGTAAATAAAATATATTGGTGCATATAAAAGATTGAACACCAAAACAATAGAGTTAATTATTATTTCTACCTTCTGTGCATCTTGGTTTATAGCGTTTTCGTAATTTGGAATGCCAACAAAAATACAATGGTGCTTAGAAAGTCACCCATAAATTTTCATAAAATTGTTAATCACAATAAATGTAGAATATGAAACAATACTTGTGCATTAATTTTGGACACCAACTCTGGTGTTTTATGCTCTATCATGTTTTAAGAGCTCGAGATAGCATTCATATTAGCAGCAGCATATAAATAAATAAATAAATAAATATAAAAAAAAGAGCTATACAAAAAATGGCATCACATCCTGGTTCAAGTCACAGAGATGAAAGAAGCAACCAACTAACCTGTAACGAATGCCGACATCCAGTATAGACACAACATTCTCTGCAGTGGCCGCAAGATACCTCCCCACACGAGGTTGAAATCTCAGCTGGGCCATACCACCCTAATCCAAACAACTATCAGTGATCACAACCCACAGAACTGACAAAAAAAACCCACATAAATATACTAAATATCCGATATCGAGAACCAGTCTACAAGATCTACCTTGAATATTCTTGTACAGCTACCATTGGTAATACTCCAGTATCTTATTTCACCATCCCCATCACAAGAGCATATAAGGTCATCTTTATTTGGGTGGAAGTCTAGTGACATTACAGCGTTATCATGTCCAGTAAAAGTGCGGAGTGAGAAATTAGGCTGCAAAACCATCATAAAGTTACTAACAACATACATTTGAAGATGCAGCAACAAAAGGATAGAAAAAAGTCGCATCCTCAAAGTGGGAAAAAGATCCTATTACCATTCCACGGAGGAAAAAAACAAAGTATAGATCCCCCAAATATGAATATTACTTATAAAGTCAAATCTTTATGAAATTGTGCATCTGTTTATTTACATACATGTTGCAAAGGAGTTCTTCAAAAGTAAAACACTCCACGAAAAAAGAAAAGGGGGAAAAAAAGAAAGAATTAGCTGCAAAGAATTGTAATAGTCATAAAGAAAAAGCATCATTACTAACATTGTCAGCATCCCAAACCCTGACAGTGTTGTCAAATGATGATGTTGCAAGACGTGGCATGCTTGGGCTGAAACGGACATCAGTAATCAGAGATGAATGTTCTTCAAGGGTAGTTTTTGGCTTTAAATTATCCGTGTACCACAATACAGCCTGTATCATAAACCACCAAACAAACAAAGAACAATGTATTTTGGGTCAGTATAAAACAGCCAAAAGACTACCTGTTTTCCTTGTTCTCTAGTCGATAATACACATATGGCATAGAATTCCACACTTTGGATAGGCAAATCAAATGTCAAACAAGCATTCCAGATGCTTGATAATGAGACTGTGGCATCAAATTCTCCCATATAGTTTTAGTTTTCAACCTTCTAAAAGTTTTTTTTTTTTTTTTTAATAAGAAACCTTCCAAAAGGTTGATTTACCTAAAATTAGGAATACAATGACCTGTCATTTTGAGGATTACCTTTTTATCATGGCCGCCACTGGCAAGCATTTTTCCATCTGATGAGAAGTGGCAACAGACTACTTTGCTTGCACTTGCTCTAATAGAATGTAGTTCAGTAAATGTGAATCCTGAAGTCATGCGAATTCTACACTCAGAGTAAATCATAGTGCATAAACAAGACAAATTTTAAAAGAAGTTTGGCATGTAAAGAAATTTTACATGTATTTATCAATTCAAGAAAAAACGACGGAGGCATATCATTATCAATAACCACTGAGAGTTGAAATATCTGTGAATAATTTGCTAGATACATTATTCCATTATAATTAAAAAATGCATCTACACAATCTTGACAAAAAGCCAACAAGATTAAGGAACCAAAGTTCGAGAAAATCTTATCAGAAGAAAAATCAGGCCTTCATCTGCACACCTTTGCTCACATCCATACGAGGAGCTGTATCTCTAGGTTCAGTATCATCATGGGATAAAAAAGAATCGACATTTTCCTCAAGAGATCCATTCTCAAAACGATCCATATCAGCCTGCAATTCAAGATCTTTGTCATCCCACTGCTAAAATGGAACACCAAAGAGAATTCAAGCAAGGAATTTTCAATTCCTTTACCAATAAAAAGGATGAAATTTTACTCACCAACTGATTTGACGGTGATGTAAGAGTGCCTGTGCCGTCCGGCCCAAACATAAAAGGTTTAGAAGAACCACCACTATTCTTGACGAAAAATACTTAAAGGGGAGGCAATATGAAACCTTCACTTTTTAAAAGCAGAAAAAATATATTTAAGAAAAGAACAACCCCGAGGAATTTTGGTATTAAATTCGAGGTTGATTGTCAAACAAGTTTGGATTCTGCATACCCAAAAAAGTAAATGACGATCAGAGGAACAATGAACCTTATTCGCCAATGCACATGTAGTAGTAGCCTTAGCGCAGAAATAAGGCCTAAAGCATATCGAATTCCTAGCCGCCGAATCTAAACCACTGTTTATTCATTTGTGTCTTTAGAGCTCTGCCACGCTCTCCGAAGTCTCGTGTTGAATACCGCGAAGGACTGATCTATATTCTATAGAAGAGATCTAAAATTAACTCTTACCACTCAAAAATTCAAGTCATCCATTTTTTTTCTACTTGAGAGACACAATGGATTTTGAGCTCATTCAAAAGAAGAAATATATATTATTATTATAATTTATTATATATTTTTTAGTTTAATATATCCATTTTTTTTTACAAGCTAGTAACAAAAATCAAAATCTCTCTGCCCCTAGTGAAAATTAATTTTTTGTTGTTAATCCTTCGCAAAATGGACAGTCAATTAATTTCAAAAGCCGTCCATTGTTTTGCAATCGAGAATAAAAACGCTCTCGTCACTATTTAACGATGAAAATTAAGTTTCTATTGCTATTCTATCATCATATTAACAGCTCTTTAATTTCAAATGGTCATCCATTTTTTAAGATTTAACGACAAATTTAGTACCTCAACGATGAATTATCCATCGTTAAAGCAAAATATTAAAAATAACAAAAAAACAAAATCCATCGTATATTTCCATAACAGCTCCATCACTAACCCGTTTTTCAAAAGTCAAAAAAGATTTTGACACCACAAATAACGACAAAATATTATCCTTCGCTAATAATTCATCGTCAAACTGTATTTATTTCGTCATTAAATCAAACAAGCATTATTTAGACCCTATTTATTCACTACTCAGCGACAGTTTTTATTCCGTTGCTCTTCTCTGATTTTCCCGTAGTGAAAGCATTTAAAACTACCATATGAAATGTTCCTAAACATCTGAAAATTTACATACACTGATTTTATATAAAATCTACTTATAAATTTAAAGCAACTCAATCCACTAGTGAATCTAATTGTTTTATTGAAAGACGGTTAACGGTATTCAAACGAAAATACTTGTTATTTATTGTGTGACGATCTGAAGTAACAAAATTATATAAAAGTGTACATTTCCGCATCAGGTCCTCTTTTAGACACCTTGAGACATTTCGGTCAACTAGCATGTGCTTTTGGCTACTAATGATTCGGAAGCTTATGCAAATTTCTAACAATGAAACCTCCCTCACATTTCTTCCAATAATCAAATCAAACATAAAATGTCGAAATCAGAGAAGCATGAGAAGTGTAATGGAAATGAGCCAGAAATGGGACTGCAGAAGAAAGTTTGAACCAGAACGGACTGCACAGGAAAACTATGAACATAAACCATTAACTTCCTTGAGTACAAAATAGTCCAGGATGCTTGACCTTGATTTGCAGGTTACAGAAGTGGTCATGTAACAGATACAACAACATATAAGGTTAGTTTTGGGGGTTATAGTGAACTGATAGTTGAATAGAACACAAAATGGGGAGATCGAGCAACCAAAATAAACAAGCTAAAACCACTTGAAAAACACTGAGAATCAATCATATATCATTTCCACAGTTTGACGAACTTATCATGACTAGCAGAAGCAACCAACCCTGTAGCAGTTGATACAGCCAAAGCAGCAATTAGACCCTCATGAGCTGGCAGAGTCATTGTCTTGTTCTCACTCATGTTCCAAAGCTCCAAAGACTGCAGAAAATGCCACAGAAGCATGTCAGAAAACCACAACAAAATATAACACAGGTTTTGAAAAAGATAGGAAAGGCAGCATCAGATAGAAGATGGTGATGGCAACATACAAACGACACATTAAATTTTTTTTCCTGAACTTCCCAAGAATTTTGCCCCCAAATATCAAGAAACTGTTTTCAATTTCAAAAACTGATGTGACCTTTGACTGGGAACCAACATGGACCATCTTCACAGCGGAGAACCCCCACACTCCATAGAGTGATAGGAAACATAATGCAGGTTTTGGGCTATGGTAAACCTGTACAACCTATGCAACAATCGTGAAATTACCGATTCCTGATTGGAAAAGCTTGCAACAAAAGGATCCATACTGCTAGCTGAAAGAGGTGCTAAAGAAAACACTATGAATAAGAAAACGTTATCATGGTGTAAGGCCACAGCCATTATTTACAAAAAATGAGTACCCTGTGACCATTAATTTCAGCATTATAGTGCCGTTAAAGAAAATTCACAGCAATAACAGCTATAATGCCATTATAATGGCAATGGCTGTTTGTTGGATATTATTGTGAAAAGAATGGGTCGATAACAGCCCATTAATGGAGAACTTACTAATAATTATTTTTTTCATAGTTATTGTACGGAAAGCTCATGTTTTCACACTTTTTTCACTCTTTTGATATTTACAACATATTGTTTATATCACATTCAACTAACAGAAGTGTTATTATTGTATAACTTAGTGAAATAATTAGAAAAGCATGCATTACTAAAATTTGTTAAGAATTATTAATGAATCACGACAACAATAGCCATGATCATTACTTAACACCTGCTAGGTCCACAATCAGCATCGGGACTACAGACTGCAACTGTGATTTAAGACTGCAACACTAATAATAAAGATAGCTTAATAGCAAAGTACAGAAAACAAAGCAGAAATCACTTGCCTGGTAACAGCCTATGACTAGCAATGAAGGGAATGTAGGGTGGAAAACACAGGACTGAAATTTGTTGCCATTACAACTCAACTCATGAACACATTCACCCTCACTTCCTGATCCAAGCGTCCAGACTCTGACAGAATCCTCACTGACAGATGCTAGATAGTCACCAGAAGGATCCCAACAAACAGAATGGATTTGCTTAGTGTGTCCCTACAGTTAGAAATATCCAAAGGTCAGCAACAGCACGAGAATGGAAAAATAGGAAAGGCACAAGACATTCATGAGCTGAGTACACACATTCTGGATCAGTTTAAGCAAAATGTAAAGACAACTTCAAATATGGATATCACCAAGAACAACAAACACGGAATGTCACACAAGAAAAGCATCCCTCCCTGATTTAAAAAAAAAAAAAAAAAAAAAGCCACTTCTGTCACCATGAGGGACAGTAAATAAAATATACTGGTGCATATAAAAGATTGAATCTAGTTGGCACTTATATTATGAACACCAAAACAATAGAGTTAATTATTATTTCTACCTTCTGTGCATCTTGGTTTATAGCGTTTTCATAATTTGGAATGCCAACACAAACAGAATGGTGCTTAGAAAGTCACCCATACATTTTCATAAAATTGTTAATCACAATAAATGTCGAATATGAAACAATACTTGTGCATTAATTTTGGACACCAACTCTGGTGTTTTATGCTCTATCATGTTTTAAGAGCTCTGAGATAGCATTCATATTAGTAGCAGCATATAAATACCAAAAAATAACTAAATAAATAAATAAAAAGAGCTATACAAAAAATGGCATCACATCCTGGTTCAAGTCACAGAGATGAAAGGAGCAACCAACTAACCTGTAACGAATGCCGACATGCTTGTGTCTCAACATCCAGTATAGAGACAACATTCTCTGCAGCGGCCGCAAGATACCTCCCCACACGAGGTTGAAATCTCATCTGGGTCATACCACCCTAATCCAAACAACTATCAGTGATCACAACCCACAGAACTGAAAAAAATACCCACATAAATATACTAAATATCCGATATCGAGAACCAGTCTACAAGATCTACCTTGAATACTCTTGTACAGCTACCATTGGTAATACTCCAGTATCTTATTTCACCATCCCCATCACAAGAGCATATAAGGTCATCTTTATTTGGGTGGAAGTCTAGTGACATTACAGTGTTATTATGTCCAGTAAAAGTGCGGAGTGAGAAATTAGGCTGCAAAACCATCATAAAGTCACTAACAACATACATTTGAAGATGCAGCAACAAAAGGATAGAAAAAAGTCGCATCCTCACAGTGGGAAAAAGATCCTATTACCATTCCACGGAGGAAAAAAACAAATTATAGATCCCCCAAATATGAATATTACTTATAAAATCAAATCTTTATGAAATTGTGCATCTGTTTATTTACATACATGTTGCAAAGGATTTCTTCAAAAATAAAACACTCCACGAAAAAAGAAACGGGGAAAAAAGCAAGAATTAGCTGCAAAGAATTGTAATAGTCATAAAGAAACACCATCATACTAACATTGTCAGCATCCCAAACCCTGACAGTTTTGTCAAATGATGATGTTGCAAGACGTGGCATGCTTGGGCTGAAACGGACATCAGTAATCAGAGATGAATGTTCTTCAAGGGTAGTTTTTGGCTTTAAATTATCCGTGTACCACAATACAGCCTGTATCATAAAACACCAAACAGACAAAGAACATTGTATTTTGGGTCAGTATAAAACAGCCAAAAGACTACCTGTTTTCCTTGTTCTCTAGTCGATAATACACATATGGCATAGAATTCCACATTTTGGATAGGCAAATCAGATGTCAAAAAAGCATTCCGGATGCTTGATAATGAGACTGCGGCATCAAATTCTCCCATATAGTTTTAGTTTTCAACCTTCTAAAAGTTTTTTTTTTTTTTTTTTAATAAGAAACCTTCCAAAAGGTTGATTTACCTAAAATTAGGAATACAATGACCTGTCATTTTGAGGATTACCTTTTTATCATGGCCGCCACTGGCAAGCATTTTTCCATCTGATGAGAAGTGGCAACAGACTACTTTGCTTGCACTTGCTCTAATAGAATGTAGTTCAGTAAATGTGAATCCTGAAGTCATGCGAATTCTACACTCAGAGTAAATCATAGTGCATAAACAAGACAAATTTCAAAACAAGTTTGGCATGTAAAGAAATTTTACATGTATTTATAAATTCAAGAAAAAAAGACAGAATGTAGGGAGGCATATAATTATCAATAACCAGTGATAGTTGAAATATCTGTGAATAATTTGCTAGATACATTATTCCATCATAATTAAGAAATGCATCTACACAATCTTGACAAAAAGCCAACAAGATTCAGGAACCAAAGTTCGAGAAAATCTTATCAGAAGAAAAATCAGGCCTTCATCTGCACACCTTTGCTCACATCCATACGAGGAACTGCATCTCTAGGGTCAGTATCATCATGGGATAAAAAAGAATCGACATTTTCCTCAAGAGATCCATCCTCAAAACGATCCATATCAGCCTGCAATTCAAGATCTTTGTCATCCCACTGCGAAAATGGAATACCAATGAGAATTCAAGCAAGGAATTTTCAATTCCTTTACCAATAAAAAAGGATGAAAATTTACTCACCAACTGATTTGACGGTGATGTAAGAGTGCCTGTACCATCCGGCCCAAACATAAAAGGTTTAGAAGAACCTCCACTATGAGGCAAAGGCATTGAGATCACATCTGGAGTTGTGTGGGTTGAAGGCGTTGATGGTGCTGAACTTGGGGAGGGCCCTGCTGTATTTGCAGTTCCTGAGCTATTGGCAGGACCTGAAGATGACACTGGCTGTTTTCTCTTTCTCCCAGTCTGGTTTTTTGAAACCTTAAAATGCAATAAGGAAAACCATGTTAGGAAACTGCACAGGTTTGTCATCTTGAGCATGCTGCTTTTAAAATGACAGACCATTGTGCATCATCTTGGAAAGGTAATAAATCTCAATTAAAGAAGAGGGGAATACCAAAAATCCATAACATTAAAGTTATGTAGAGAAGTCAAAAGGCTTAGTTAATAACTACTGCAATAGAAAAGGTCTATTTGGTCTCCACTTAATTAATGGAACCAAACTATAATTGTTGCCTCATGCAACTTTCATCTGAGGGGTGAGATACTAGAGAATAGAGAAACAAATGTTTGCATGCCAAGGCGTCCTACATGATTAGTATAAGTAAAAGTTTGAAGTAATTGAGATCTTAAATGATATCAAACTGGTTCCAATTAATGTATCTAGAAATGCTAATAGAGGGCTCAAATAATTATGGAAGCATGATAACCCTGTGCCACCAATAGCACAACCAAAAAAGGATGTCATCTGGCCAGAGCATTGATTATAATGGTGTATTGGAGGTAACCAAAAAAGACAGACCTGATCGTTTCCTCGAAAAGAGTTGGACATGCTACCATCGACATTGACACTGCCAGCACCCCCATCTTATCTTGCGGATGAAGATTGTGATTTGAACTCTGTGATTGCTGATTTGAAAGCACATGCTGCTGAAGCTGCTGCTGTTGCTGCTGTGGATTGCTATTCTGTTGCTGTTGTTGCTGCTGCTGCTGCTGTAACTGAGCCATTTTTAACTACATATGAAAGGAAGTTTCTTTCAGAATATTAAATTTATGAAAATGCAAAAGCAACTAGAGGAAGACATCAAAAATACATTGAATTACAGATGAAAAGGTAAACCACAAAATCATTGAACCTTAATCAGCATATCAGGATCTCCACGAGGCATAAGTGTGGAACCAGATTGCAAAGGGGATCCAACATTTGGAACAACATCGCTAACAGAATTTGTAAGGCCATCCTTTCCAAGACCCATATTCCGGTTACTCAAAAGCATTCTCAGCCTTCTACTATCGTCACTAGCAGCTGGTGATGTTAAATTTTGTTGTGCCAGCATAAGCTGTTGCTGGTGTTGTGGTGTTAACATCTGAAGTTGATGAAAGGGCTGAGGAGCCTGTATAAAAGGTTTTTGTTGCTGAAGAAGCCCTGAACGAAGTTGATCCAATCCCTGACAAGTAAGTAAAAAGGTGAAACAGCTGATAGTCAAATATGCATACAAATTCATAGTAAGCATGTTATTTCCTATTGTGCATCCAAAATTAAATCATATTCATGCATGTAGAGAGTAGGATTTTCAGGCACAATTGGAACAGAGAAAACTTACATGGAGTGGCCATCCTTTTAAAGTCAAATTGTTACCGCCTTGATTTGATCCTGAAAAGCAAGGGCTTATGAATTAGCCATTCGAATCTCTAGACCAAGCAGATTATAATGAGCCCCAGTTAACCCTCAAATGGAAAGATAAGACACTAGATTAAACGATCAAATGGTCTCTTGTGCATTAGAGTGTTATTTGTTGCTCAAAAATCGGGATAAATCAACCATATCAGCCTTAACAGGGGAAATCCATGAGCAAAACATACCAGGAATTCCTATCAATGACACTTCTGGACCAGCAGCTCTAGGATTCAGCACTGGATTGATCTCGCTCTTTATGTCCTGATTCCATTCCAGACGAAATTTAGAACAATTGAACAATAAGAAAATCTCAAATGTTGAGAAAACCTATGGACCCATACCGGTGTAGACCCTGGCAATTGCTGATTCCGAGCCTGGACCTGTGGGGACATTCCACCAGAAGCACCATGCAAAACTTGCCTAAAATTAGGTTATAAAACATCAAAAAAAGTTCTAAATCAATTCAACAACTAATCACAAAATCAATGACTGTTTCTTCAGACATACATATAATAGTCGAGATTGTGTAACATTCAGAGTTGCAAATCCACACCAGCTTGTTTTTATTTAACAGAAAAAGAATAATTAACAAGAATTTTGCAATTAACATGAAATACCAAAAAAAAAAAAAAAAAGATCATTTCAAATGCTGAACAAGAACCACATCATTCTAGGTTTTGTTCTATCCAAAAGTTCTTCAAGTTCAAATGTGGCATAAAACTGCATATCAACGGATTTTGTTCTATCCAAAAATTCTTCAAGTATATGATTAAGCAATAAAGTTGAAGGGGACAGAAAAGCACCCTGAAGGCTGGCCAGTTGCTGCAGCAGCAGATTTCAAAATCGAGGCATGACTTGGATCCAAAAGATGCCCAACATTCTCACCAAATCTTTGCTGTAAAAAGTTTCAAACATATAGAATAAAGTCAAGCTTCAAAAAATGCCAGAGAATAATGTCAGTCAATCCACCGCTCTTAAATTCAAGAATAGTAAAAAGGGAAAAGGGGAAAAGGCCAATAGCCTACCTTCATTGTAGCATCTGCCAAAGAATCCCTCTCCACTGGTAATTTTAATTTTTCCTCGTACATCTTTGTAGCCATTGCATTAGCAGTTGCAGCATTTTGGCGCATGAGAGGATCATTTCCCACAAGCCCGTTTGAAGTACCATTCAGGAGGTGGGCACCATCCCTTCTCTGCTGCTGTTGCTGCTGCTGCTGCTGTGGAGGCTGCTGTTGCTGCTGCTGCTGCTGCTGCTGTTGCTGCTGCTGTTGCTGCTGCTGCTGCTGCTGCTGCTGCTGCTGCTGCTGCTGCTGTTGTTGCTGCTGATGCTGCTGATGCTGCCTCTGCAATAGGAGCTGTTGCATTTGCAATTGCTGTTGTTGTTGTTGCTGCTGCTGCTGCTGCTGTTGATGCTGTGGTTGTTGACCTTGCTGCTGGTGTTGTTGCTGCTGTTGTTCCCGGGCTTTAATCAACTGAGTCTGAATTTCCAATATCATCACAATTTCCGATGAGTACCAAAAGTTATTACTTCTATGAAATTTGCAAAAAATATTTTAAAGTTTAAACCTTCCAGTAGCATGTTACAAGAGCAGCACCAAATGGCTGATTCACGTGAGGGTTTAAATGAGTATAAATATCTACAACTATTTGTCAAAATCCCAAACAGAACCCCTGGACCAGTAGTTGGCTGAAGTTATGCAACCATGCTTGCAATGAGTGGTTCATCCAACTACAGAATCCATTGCAATGAGTGGTTCATAAGATATTGTTGCGCTTTTGGGCATCAGAGAAGATTTGGATGCCACAACGATTAATATTGGTTTCAAGAACAAGGTTTCACTGCACGCAGAGAAGCCTCACCCAGGTCTCAGTTAATTTTGTCCATAAAGAATCTAAGAAACTCTGAAAATAGTTTTGCAGGCAGTAATAAGATGCTCAAAAGAAAGAAGTCATCGATTAGCCACTTCAATATCTCATGCAATCACAACTTCCTTTTCTCTCTAGCACTCATGGGTCCAAATAAATCTAAAGGAAATAATGAGATGCAGCAGAAGAGTCCTGAAAACCAACCTCAATGTAAGATGCAGCAACCTCTGAGTGCTTCTCATTGGTCCTAGCAATGAATATATCCCAGAACACAGACCACCATTCAAAGAGAAAGCCTCCAGGTGCATCAATAGCTGGAAAAACCACAGTAAAAAGTCAAAACAGTGCATCAAATTAAAAATAAATAAATAACAAAAGCCAACGTGAAGGGTTTCTCTTGCCCTTAATCATAAATCTAAAAACACTTACCTACAGGATCAGATGACACTTTTCCTTCAGTTTGAAAAGCCTGAGCAGAAGCCTTCAAGTCCCTTTTTACCAAATAGTCATGGATATACACATCTAACCTGTAATTTATCCATAAAATTACTCAATTTCATTTATATCAACGGAAAAAAAAACAAGAAGAAGAAGCCTTCACCAACCCTAGCAGCTGCGAACAGAATAATAGATACAAGTCCAAACCAATCACCCAAATCTGACATCATAGTGAATCTTGTGAAGAAAAGTGTATAAAATGGACAGAATCCAGACCAGAAATACAAGATTGCTAAATGTTAAAACCCAAAAAGGTAATAAACCAGCAACCCCAGTGATTAAAACTTCAAACTTAGCTTATCCACACATAAGAAGAATATATCTAATCAACAAAAAACATTTACACCCTAAATACAGCAGATATTCAAATTCCGAAAAAAAAAAAAAAAAAAAAACCATCAACAAGCAACTAACCAGTAAGAGAAACACAAACCCTAAAATACTAGCAAGATATAAGTAAGTAACATGAAACAGCTTCAAAGAATAAAACTTTAGTCGAAAAACAAACATAAGAAACAAAACCCAGAAAAACCCACATGCCACAAACCACAATCAAGAACCGAAACATGAAATAAACAAGCATTAAAACAGAAAATGTAAACCTTTAACAATAAATAGAGAAACGTTAACCATATTTCAATAAGAACTTACATTTTATCAGCTTCCCAGTTGGTTTGAGACATGTTTTCGAATCTTAAACAGCTGTTCTACAATAATGCCTGGTTTCTTGCACACAGCTTTACCTCTCTTTGCCCCTAAAATTGCAACCCAGAAAATAAAAAATAAGAAATTTATTAGTAAAGAATACAAAACCTTGCCTTCAATATGTATAATCAATTCACTAATCGAACCCAAATAATAAGAGTGAAAAAGTTCCAAACTTTTTACTTTTCTAGTGATAAAAAGAGCAATGAAGAATCTATCAGAGCAGGAATTGATATAGAACCTCTAAATTTAGAAAGAATTGAAAAATATATTTATTAAAATATTTGAATAACCAAACTCAAAAAATTAAAAAGAAAAAAGAAAAGGAAAAATGAAATGTTCAAGGAGATACCTGAAAAAACCCAAAAAAAGAAAATTATATTTTTCAGACTTAATAAAATTCTATCTCTGTAGCTTTTGGTGGATTGCGAATAGCTGTTGCAGATATCATAATGGCTTTGGGCGGCTCAATTTACTAATAAACCCCTATGACCTTGTCTAATTTTATGTCTGAACCACTAGTTTCTGGACCACTTTATAATTGAATGACTGAAATAACCTTACGTGTTTGCAAACTTTCCTATTGATTTGGAACATTAGCTGTGTACTTGTTAAGCTAAAAGAGGAGTTTTATGTAAATTGATCTGTATTATATAATTCTTATTCCTTTTCAATGTAGGCTCTCAGTGTTTTTCCTATTTATGAATGAACCATGTAGTTTGGTTATTTGCACATGTTACCAAAAACTTCTGGGCTTCCTTCATGTACATCCTCAATGCACATTGAGAAGTGAGCACAGATCTACAGCGGCTAGTCTTGTAAAGATTTCTAGGCTTCAATAGCGTAATCGTAAAGATTTCAAGTGACGTGAAAGTTTTTCTAGGAAATTGGGATGAAATGTTATTGTTTTTAATTTATGCAGGGTAGAAACGATGCCAACGTCTTTTATTTGCTAGTTTTGGTTTGAAGGTGTTGTGTAATTAAATGTATTTATTTGTTAATGAGCTTAATTACATTTTAACTGCTATCATGTTCTACTCAACTAGAATCCGAAATTTCTTAGACGCTTTCTTGCTGAATTCAATCACCACTTGACATATATTTTTTTATTTTTTTTCATAATGGGGGACAACTCTTGAACTCTAGATTTATCATCTCTTTTTTTCTAGGAAAAAAAATATTATCAAAATTAGATATTGTTGATAACATATTATGTTTATGACATAACAAGAAATTTAAGTTCATCTAATATATTTTTGTTTAGATTTATTAGCGTTGTGGTATTTTTTCTAAGATGGATATGAAACGGAAGTGTTTTTGTTTAGTTTTAATTAGTTTTTTTTGTTCACGCTATACTACAAGTAGGATAAAATATATAAAAGCTTTTATAAAAATTATTTTAGTTTAATAGTTTATTTTATGGTATGAATGTATAAAAATATATAAAATTAAAAGTGAAAAAAATATTTTAAATTTTTTAATGTAATTTGAAATTAAATGGATGAGAATTTAAAAAAAAAGATAAATTAAAGTAGTAAATTTTAAATAATAAAAATAATTAAAAAATTCATTTAAAAAGTAAAAAAAAATATTGTATAAATTATAATTATATATTTAAAAAATAAAACATTGACGTTCTAAAATTTAATTTCAAAATTCATATATTAAAAAAATAAATTTATTAACAAATAAAATTATATCAAAAAATTATTTTTAGGTGAATTTTAATAAGAAATAAATAATTAAAAAATTAAATTTAAACAATAAAAGTAATATAATCATATATATAGATATATCATCTTTAAACTTTACGAAAAACTAAAAAAATAACGATTTATTTTTTATATTTTTCATCTTTTTTTTGTAGACCTTCTTTCTTTATTGTTTTTTTCTTCTTTTATATATATATATATATATATATATATATATATATATATATATATATATATATAGAGAGAGAGAGAGAGAGAGAGAGAGAGAGAGAGAGAGAGAGAGAGAGAGAGAGAGAGAGGGGGCGCACTCGGTTGCAAGCCAACTAAGACAGATGCCCGGTTGGCTTTGTGCAACTAGGTTGCAAATAAAAAAAAAAAAGGAAGAAGCCATCTCGCTTGGGCCGTATAGGCGAGCCCACCCGCCGAGCCTTGCTTGCGACTCAATAGGAAAAAAACCCGTAACTTCGTCGAACTCGAAGTCCCCGGAAGTTCATAAAAAATCGAAAGTCAACTTTCGGACCTCTAGAAATTGAATTCCGACATCATTTTTTTCCCAAACACCTCTAAATGATCGGAATAAAGCCAATAAGCACATCTAAAACTTTAAAAATCATTTTAATACACACAAAAACAAAGAAAAATACAAAATCAAATTTGTTTTTTTTATTTTTTGGCTTCGATTTACCTCCTCCAATTGTTTAATGGCTTGAAACTACTATAGACAAACTCATCTCTCAAAGATAAAAAAAATATAGTGGATTTTCGTCGCCGCAGTGGCCTAAATAAGCTTGGCCGACGATCTCTCTCCCCTCCCACCTCTCTCTTCCTCTCGACCTTCTCTCTCCACCTAGGGATCAAAATGGATAAGCAAATAAACATGTGGATCGAAATATACGTTCGAAAATATCGGAGATCAAAATGTAAAAAAAAGCTATAAACAATGAAAGTAACGATGAAATGTGAGAGAGTGAATAGTGGAATATGAGTGTGTGCTCGGTGTTTCAAATAGTAATCACTCGTTCATTTCATAGTTTTACTTTAGTTTATTAGTTAATAGCTATGATAATTTTTAAAATGGATTATGACATATGAGTGTGATGTAATTTTTTAACTAGACTAAATGTTAGAAGAATCAACATAGTATGAATGGTTTTCTTTGTTCTAGGGCCAAATTCTATGTTTTATTATTTACTTTTCTTATACTTATTTTTCTTATTTACTTTCCTTATATTAGAATTTTATTATATAAGAATTCCTAATTACGACAGAGTTATTTTAAAGTCTATATTTATTTAGAAATTAGACTATATTAATTAGTCCTTGTTGAATATTGATTGAACTTAGGTTTTCTATTAGAATTAGACCAAAGTTTTTATAGTCCAAATAGGACATGTTTTCTTTAGTCTAAAACGAGTTTTAGAAGTAATATTTAAGGCATCATTATGCAGTGCGGAGAAATAAATTTTGATTATTAATTACTAAAATTCTTGAAAAGTCTCTCTCAATTATCTTGTGTATGTTTGTGATTGGCTTAGAGTTTGTGTTTTATATCCTTTAATTTGATCACTCGATGTGGTGCTTTAGATCAATATTAACTAAAAGTGTAGTAGGCCTCTAAATAATATTAAAATCTCTAAAATTAAACAATTTAGCTAAGGTTGTAGTCCAATTCTAAATCTCGCCAAAATCAATCGAGTTAGGATGTCTATTACTTGAGAAGTTTTGATCTTGTTTAACTTAAGGTTGGAATTTTTAGATTTCATCAATTATGTGTTTTAGAGGCTTCGGCTTCTTTAAATTATGGGTATAAGTTTCAGCCAGTATGAAACAAAAAGGTTGGCATATTCAACTTTGAACTAAACGTCACAATGTTAGCTAGGTATTAGAGCTTTAGATTTGTTTTCCTTATATGTTCTTGATAACGTTTGTGAAGATGTCTCTTAAAAAACAATCAAACTAAATGTCATGGTAGATTTTTTATGTAAGAATGCACATTTGTCTCAAAAAGACTCGAGGAGTACTAAATGAGAAACTTGCAACGTGAAAATGTCGGTTTGCAAACAGGATGAAACGAGAGGCAAATGGTCAATAATTTAAGGGTAATGAAGGAATTAGAAAAGAGAAATTTTGGCAATAAAAAAAAAAAGATTTTGAGGCTAAAATTTTTTAGAATTCTACTTCCTTTGTGGATTAGAATCAACCTCCAAAGTTCAATAAGAAATATAGCAAGATCCATAATGAGGTTGTAAATTTTAAGTATATTGATGAAGTAGAGATTCTAGTAGAGGAGGAAGATTTCTTTGAGCTTGAGGCATGTGAAAATTTTGATTTCTTCAAAAATTTGAACCAATCTCCAATCTATAATGTTTATATTGATGATGACCATGATGTTAATTATGATGTCAATAATGATAATGATGGCAATGATGTTCTCATAAATAGTGACCTCTTTGAAAATATAAAAATTGAGCGCAAATAGATCATAGGAATTGCTCAATAAAAGAAATTTATTGATAACAAAGTACTTGTAGCCTAGTGGTAGTGGTTACGAGTTCAAATCCTAATAGACTAGCTCTGTTAGAAGCCTTAGGTGTGTGAGTTGTAAAAAAAAATAAAAATTATAGGTTTAGGCTTTGTTGATCATTTTTATTATAAGTCAACTTTTATTGCAAAGTTAAAATTATTTAAGGATTATGTGGATAAAGCACATATTGATGAAAAAACTTTAAAGTTTATAATTTATTATTCCAAAGGTCAATAGAAGAGAAATAAGTTGTCAATTGATGCTTTTTATGTAAAATTTAATGAGAAACTGATGTTGGTATCTAAAATTGTTATATACTTGAAGTAAAGAAAAAAAAATGTAAAATAGTTTTAATTGAACATATATGAGATCGAAAAAAAGAATGATTTAAACTCGACGATAAATTATTTTCAATGCATAGGCTTAATGCAAAAGTGTGGCCTACTTTTCCAATTAGGCCAAATGTTACAAGAATTGACCTTGATCGAATGTTTTTCTTTATTTTAAGGCCTAATTTTATGTCTTGTTATTTACGTTCCTTGTATTTACTTTTTTTTATATACTAAAAATTGTACTTGTATGAGGAATTTTATTTACGTGGGAGTGATTTTAGAGTCTATAATTATTTAGGAATTAGGTTAGGTTAATTAGCTTTTATTGAATATGGAATGGACTTAGATTTTCTATTGGGCTCGGACTAAAGTTTTTGCAATTCAAATATAACAAGTTTTCTTTAGTTTGA